TGCATGGCCAGAGCTGAAGATGCGGTTCATTCGTCGCACACGGCATTAAATTGATGCTAGAGATGGGGAGATTTAATTTCAAAGGGTTAGTTGTTTTGTTTTTTTTTTTCCCCATTTGCACAGATAGTGCAGGATGGTTCACAAGCCAGAATTTGTCCGCTTTCCCCAGGTGGCTCCTGCCCATGGAGCAGATGGACTGACAGTCTGATGCTGAGAGGTGAAGGGAAAGTCTGTCCCAGAGCATTCCCGTAACCTCCGTCCCTGTGCGAGCACCGGGGCTCACTGCTGCTCCACGTTGGGCTGGAGCCAAGGAGGCAGAGGGGAAAAAGCTTTTTACAGCCCATTAGTGCTCCCCAGAGCCGCCCGGCCCCTCTTGTAATAAAAGTGGTGGAAGCCACAGAAACATTATGGCTGGTCTGCAGAAGATGCTGGTCTGCAGAAGATGCCAGCTCGCCTCCCAGCTCCGTGTCCCTTCCCAGTGGCTTTGCTGGAGCCGCTGACCCTCCCGCCAGCTCCGGCTGCTGGAATTCCCTCTGGGAATGCAATAACAAGCTGGCGAGGGCTGGTGTCGTCCCCCCCCCGTCCGTCCTGAGCTCCCCCAGCAAAATGTACATGGGAGGGTTCCAAGTGCAAATGTGTGTGCGCTAATGGGAAATGAATTGCCTCTTGCCCCGAAGCCTTGCAGCTTGAGGAAAACAACGCAGGGTCTAGGAATGACCTCATATCGCCTCCCAGGGAATGTTTTGCCAGATGAAGAGGGGGGAGAGGCAGCATCAAGACAGCACAATGTATGTATCTCCCTCCCTGTGTAAACATCCCTGTAGCTGCAGAAACCTCTTAAAACCCCGAATGAGCGGAGAACAGCTGCTTTGATCTGTGGATGTGGTTGTTATTTTCTAAGTGCGGATCCGTTCTTTTTTTAATTTTGCTTCAAATTAAAAAAATGCCTGTTGTGATCTTTTTCTGCTTTTATTTCTTGGCGAGGGACCGGAGCAGGGTGCAGTAAATTTTCATTACTCCCCATGTAACCGTTTCAGCATGGTTGACAATTCCTCGCCGGCTCTTCAGCGCCGCAGCACAATGGACCGAATCTTCTGGCCCTACATGAAGCCAAAGCAAATGGATTTTGCCCAGAAGTGCACGACGGGGAGTGGAGGCAGCGGGGAGGAGAGTCCCGCCACCTCCTTCCCTGCCCAAAGCACACACAAACACACACGTACACACGCGTGTGCACGCACGGCTCGGGCTGGCGGGGTTGTCCCGGAGCCTTTGAAGGGCTCTGGAGAGGGCTCCCGGGGAGGGATCCGTGCCAGCCCTGCGCCGCGGCGGCAGGAGCTGGTAAAGAGCCACTGGGGCTGAAGCGCCGGGCTGTCTTGCAGGCGATTTAAGTGTGATTCATGGCCCTCCCTCCAGACTCCCTGTGTGATCTCGGGAATCTCCATCTGCCTGACTTTCCCCATCTGCGCTGGGCAGGGGCACGGCCCGGCTCTTCGAGGGGCACCAGCCCTGGGACCTCCATCGGCCTTGCTTCTGCCCAACCAGGCAGCATCTTTTTTTGGAAAAGAAGCAATATTATATATAATTTTTGGCTCACCCCAACCCTGTTGGAGGAGTGAGACATGGGGCTCAGCCCCTTCCCTCCCCATGGCATGAGCAATACTGCTGTCGGCTGGGGATCTGCCTTCAATGGCCAGACCCACCCACCAGTGCAAGGCACTGGTTTAACTGGGAGCACTGAACTCTGGGCACGAGCAAGGAGTTTGCTCGTCCCCCTGCTGTCACGTGGCTGCCCCATGTTTTGGCGTTTTGATTACATACGATACTGTGTATTTAAGACTGGTTTATGGGTGTTTATACTAATGCGTAAAGCTGTAATTTAGAAGCTCGGTTATAAATCAACAGCACTGAAGGTCTTGTCCCTCGTGCCTTGAGATCAGTCTCCAGATTTAGAAGACAGGTTAGAGGAAAAAAAAAAAAAAAGGAAGAGGACTGTCTCGTTTTCCTCGGGCTATGATGATAAAGGATGGTGGAATGGGATGGGAGCATGTCCCGCTCTGAGGTGTGGTGGCCGGGCACAGGGATCCGTGGTGTGGGTGAGCACAGAGTTTCCATCTTGACTCTGCTCTTACGACGGTTATAAGAAAGACTTGTGTTTACACGGCAAATCCCAGCCTGGAAAGAGAAGCGGTGCCACGGCTGCCGAGCTGATGCTCGTGGGAGGCTGGTGGCATCCCACTGGTGACGTTCTTGGCTTGTGCTAGGACATGGGCTGCAAGGACTGGAGCCCCTTCCTGCTCAGTGCCACACACGAGGAGGAGCAGCCTTTATCCCCAAGAGGTCCTGGCACAGACTGGGGCTGGCAGGAGAGCCAGGAGCCTCCTCCAGCGGCAGTGCTGAGCAGGATGGCACATTCCTACTGATGGGTTGTGGTCCTCTACCCATATGTCCTGATGATGACACCTCCACATTCATGTTTTTATACAGAAAATTCTTTTAGAGCTTTAATAGTAATTTCTGCACCTTTCCCCTTCCCAGGCTGCTCTATAGCCTGGCTGTGCCTGGGATGGTTTTGCATTGCTGGATTGATTCAGTATCAGGTAGCTGAGATGTGCTGTGGGTTATTTGGGCTGGTCATGCTGGTGTGAGTGCTCTGCTGAGGGATTTCCTATCCAACTGGGCTATGGCAGAGCCCCTTGTCCCTGTTGAGACACTCTTGGTAGCTATGGTGGCTGGGTGCTGCCCTGCCCCAAGCCCAGGCAGTCACGCAGGCTCCCCTGGCTCCAGGTTCACCGTGCAAACGTGAATTTGAACGTTGGAGATTTGTGTTGGGTGTAACGGGCACATCTTTCCTTCTGTTCCTCAGCTGATGCTGGTTTCTTCCTCCCCTGGGAGGTTCCCACATGGGTTTAGGACCCCAATGCTTTGTGTGGGGACCCACTGGCAGTAAGCAGAGATATTTGGGTGTAGGATGGCTCTGTGGGGCTGGGAGGGAGAGCCTTTGGTCCCCTCCTCTCTCCAGCAGATATCTTGGCAAAGCTGGATGTTCTCCATCGCCTGCAGTCCCCTTTATTGTATCCTTAGGGGTTATTAGGACAGAAGAGGATAGGAGATGCTGCAGGGGCAACACGGTGGGCTGGGAAGACCCTGTGGGCAGGATGATGACCCCAAGGACAGGGTGATCACTGGGGCCATGGGACCCTGCATCCCCAGACAGGTGGAATCACCGCACACCTTCTTCCTGGCCCTGCTCCCGGCTCCCAGCCTTATCTCCCACTAAAGTTTCCCGGCTGGTGATGCCTCCCTGGGCTCAGGGAACAGAAACACCCCCGAAGAGTGATGGTGCCAGCAGCTCCCAGTGCAGGGACAGTCACGGGGAGGGTTTCCCTGCACCCCCGGGACGGTGGCTGCAGGGGGCCAGGCAGTGAAAGCCTCCCACAAGCAAACAAACACTGAATATTTCAAAAAGGTCTCTTTCTTTCCCCTCCACCATTATTTCTAGCCCCCCCTCCCCACCTCTCCCTTGCAAACAGCAGAGCTGCTGTCCCATCCTGCACCCCAAGTCACCCCCCCAGCCGCCAAGCCCAGCCAGGTCATGCCATCTGCAAACTCTTGTTTTCTCTTCCCCC